AAAATGAAAACAACACCAACGATAAAAAGGCAGTAGGTAAATAAGTACCCCAGCTTCCTCCTCTATCAATCAGCTGGGGTAATTCTGTAGTATGGTCTACATAGTATGGTCTACACTGTCTCCCAGTGTTCTGAAACGGGATTAAGCCTTTTTCCCCTAGGGATAATCACAATAATTCACAACTTATTGGTTTCCTTCACTGCCCCATTTCACTTCCCACTCCTTCTCTGGTACTCTTGACGACAGTAAATCATTTTCACTGTAAAGAATGTAGTCTTTTTATTGCCAAAAAATATTTGGGATGCTTTTGGTACTGATTTAATTAATTCATCAATTATATTACTTAATTATGAAGTTGGTGTTTGGAATAATTATCATAAAAACATAACATGGGCTCTGTCAGTCTACATGTTTTAGGATGATTCTATCAGCATGAATGATAATAGAGGTTAAGATAATTAAAAAGTCATCAAATTGTATATTTACATATGTGAATATTATTGTATATGACATAATTCAATAAATTTGATTTTTATGTGGATAGACACAATATTAAATGTGTTGACATATGTATATGAATTTAATCAGCGATTAACATAAAAATTATGTTTGAGGATATTTCTCACTGCTATTTTTTATTATTGTACTGTAAGTTCTCAGATACATGTGCAGATCCTGCTGGTTTGTTACATAGGTATACATGTGCCATGGTGGTTTGCTGCACCCATCAACCCATCATCTAGGTTTTAAGCCCCACATGCATTAGGTATTTCTCCTACTGCTATCCTTTCCTTTGCTCCCCCCACAACAGGCCCCATCCTGTGATGTTCCCCTCCCTGTGTCCATGTGTTCTCATTGTTCAACTCCCACTTATGAGTGAGAACATGCAGTGTTTGGTTTTCTGTTCCTGTGTTAGTTTGCTGAGAATGATGGTTTTCAGCTTCATCCATGTCCCTGCAAAATACATGATCTTCTTTTTTATGGCTGCATTAGTATTCCATGGTGTATATATGCCACATTTTCTTTATCCAGTCTATCATCAATGGGCATTTAGGTTGGTTCCAAGTCTTTGCTATTGTAAATAGCACCACAATAAACATACGTGCGCATGTGTCTTTATAGTAGACTGATTTATAATGCTTTGGGTATATACCCAGTAATGGGATTGCTGGGTCAAATGGTAATTCTGGCTCTAGATCCTTCCGGAATCACCACACTGTCTTCCGCAATGGTTGAACTAATTTATACTCTACCAACAGTGTAAAAGTGTTCCTGTTTCTCTACATCCTCACCAGCATCTCTTGTTTCCTGACTTTTTAATGATTACCATTCTAACTGGTGTGAGATGGTATCTCATTGTAGTTTTGATTGTATTTCTCTAATGATCAGTGATGATGGGCCTTTTCTCAGATGTCTGTTGGCTGCATAAATGTCCTCTTTTGAGAAGTGTCTGTTTATATCCTTTGCCCACTTTTTAATGGAGTTGTTTTTCATGTAAATTTGTTTAAGTTCCTTGTAGATTCTGGATATTAGACCTTTGTCAGATGGATAGATAGTAAAAATTTTCTCCCATTCTGTAGTTTGCCTGTTCACTCTAATGATAGTTTCTTTTGTTGTGCAGAAGCTCTTTAGTTTAATTAGATACCATTTGTCAATTTTGGCTTTTGTCGCAATTGCTTTTGGTGTTTGAGTCATGGAGTCTTTCCCCATGCCTATGTCTTGAATGGCATTGCCTAGGTTTTCTTCTAGGCTTTTTATGGTTTTGGGTCTTATGTTTAAGTCTTTAATCCATCTTGAGTTAACTTTTGTATAAGGGGTAAGGAAGGGGTCCAGGGGTCCAGTTTCAGTTTTCTGTATATGGCTAGCCAGTTTTCCCAACACCATTTATTAAATAGGTAATCATTTCCCCATTTCTTGTTTTTGTCAGCTTTGTCAAAGATCAGATGGTTGTAGATGTGCAGTGTTATTTCTGAGGCTTCTGTTCTGTTCCATTGGTCTATATATCTGTTTTGGTACCAGTACCGTGCAGTTTTGGTTACTGTAGCATTGTAGTATAGTTCGAAGTCAGGTAGCTTGATGCCTCCAGCTTTGTTCTTTTTGCCTAGGATTGTCTTGGCTATGCAGACTTTTTTTGTTGTTCCATATGAAATTTAAAGTAGCTTTTTCTAATTCTGTGAAGAAAGTCAATAGTAGCTTGATGAGAATGGCATTGAGTCTACAAATTACTTTGGGCAGTACAGCCATTTTCATGATATTGATTCTTCCTGTTTGTTTGTGTCCTCTCTTATTTTCTTGAGCAGTGGTTTGTAGCTCTCCTTGAAGAAGTCCTTCACATCCCTTGTAAGTTGTATTCCTGGGTATTTTATTCTCTTTGTAACAATTGTGAATGGCAGTTCACTCATGATTTGGCTCTCTGTCTGTTACTGGTGTATATGAATGCTTGTGATTTTTGTACATTGATTTCATATCCTCACTCTTTGCTGAAGTTGCTTACCAACTTAAAAAGTTTTGGGGCTGAGGCGAAGGGGTTTTCTAAATATACAGTCATGTCATCTACAAACAGAAACAATTGACTTCCTCTCTTTCTATTGGAATACGCTTTATTTTTTGCTCTTGCCTGATTGCCCTGGCCAGAACTTCCAATACTATGTTGAATAGGCGTGGTGAGAGAGGGCATCCTTGTGTTGTGCCAGCTGTCAAAAGGAATGCTTCCAGCTTTTGCCCATTCAGTATGATATTGGCTGTGGATTTGTCATAAATAGTTCTTATTATCTTGAGATATGTTCCATCAATACCTAAAAAGTTTATTGAGTGTTTTTACCACGAAGGGGTGTTGAATTTTATCAAAGGCCTTTTCTGCATCTGTTGAGATAATCAGGTGGTTTTTGTCATTGGTTGTTTATGTGATGGATTACATTTATTGATTTGCGTATGTTGGACCAGCCTTGCATCCCATGGATGAAGCTGACTTGATTGTGGTGTATAAGCTTTTTGATGTGCTGCTGGATTCAGTTTGCCAGTATTTTATGGAAGATTTTTGCACTGATGTTCATCAGGGACATTGGCCTGAATTTTTTTTGTTGTTGTTGTATCTCTGCCAGGTTTTGGTATCAGGATGATGGTGGCCTCATAAAATAAGTTAGGGAGGAGTCCCTGTTTTTCTATTGTTTGGAATAGTTTCAGAAGGAATGGTACCAGCTCCTCTTTGTACCACTGGTAGAATTTGACTGTGAATCTGTCTGGTCCTGGGCTTTTTTTCGTTGGTAGGCTATTAATTACTACCTCAATTTCAGAACTTATTGGTCAGTTGAGGCACTGGAGTTCTTCCTGGTTTAGCCTTGGGAGGGTGTATGTATCCAGGAATTTATCCATTTCTTCTAGATTTTCTAGTTTATTTGTGTAGAGGTGTTTGTAGTATTCTCTGATAGTAGTTTTTATTTCTGTGGGATAGGTGGTGATCTCCCCATTACCATTTTTTATTGTGTCTCTTTGATTATTTTCTCTTTTCTTCTTTATTAGCCTGGCTGGTGGTCTATCTATTTTGTTAATCTTTTCAAAAACCAAGTTCCTGGATTCATTGATTTTTTGAATGTTTT